TTTTTTTTTTTTTTGTCAGATTATTTTGTAAAATTAGATTGGTGTTGCTCAAATCGTGTTGAAAATTTTTGAACTTTTGAAAAATATTACTTTAGGAGACTGATAAAAAGGTCAAATTACCTGGAGTTCCTTCCCATCATTCCCAATCAACTTATGGTCTCATTATCGCTACAGTTAGATTGATTTTATTTAACGGTAGTAGATCAACGACCTCAAGTAAATCCCACGAAATTTGGCGGAAAATTTTGATTGCGCGCATGCGAAGACGGGATAGAATTTGTGTAGGATTACTTGAGAAAATTTGGGAGATGGGAGAATTTTCCTTAGGATAGAACTTTAACAACAGTGGAATAGTTCTTTGTTCTGCAAGATGGCTTTTTCCAAAATTTTTTTGGAGGCAGTAAGGTTTTTCTGGCACTAGGGCGAATGGATGAAATTACATTGAATTTTGGTAATGGATGTGTCAAGTAACTTGAAATCCATCTCGAACATCGTAAGTAAAAAGCTTTTGCAGAAGGAAAATGGGTCAATTATGCTGCTAGAAAGCGCCTTTTTTTGCTAATGTCGGTTATTCTTTCCAGGATTTTTGGGACATAGGACGAGGTTGTTTCTTCTTGCCTTTATTTCACCATTTTTATTAATTCTTTGTAAGACGGAGCAGGAATTGCTATTTTACGTAAACGTTTTAACAAGTAGCTAGTGCTTTTCACGTTTAAGCGCCATAGGTTACAAGTAAACATAGTAGTAATAACAGCTCTGGGTTCTTGAGACCGGTAGGGGACCGCCATTTTATTACCTTTCAGTCTTCTGTCCATCTTTGATTTTGTCTGACATTTCAGTTGTATGATCATGTTCTCGTTTTTGGGCATTGTAAATAGACGTTTGTAATTTAATTTGTCTATCTTCTCACCCAGTTCTTCCATGCGGTGAGGTTGTCGGAAAATCTCAGCAGCTTCTTTAGCTTGTTAAACTGAAATTTTATCTGCAAGTTGATTAATTATTAATGCTAATGTTTTTTTTCGACCTGTAGATGAGAAATCAGCTGTTTATTAATGCAACAGTTTGTTATAACAAATTTTGTGGTTGACATCGCAGTGTTAGATTTTGTACAGTTTTTTGGAACGAGGAGGGTGTTTTGTTTGGAAATACTGCCTGATTGACAAGAAGAATCAAGGGTTGTATGAGAGCTGGATGGGTCTTTCCAAGTGCCGCTTTCCACTTACGTAGAAAAGGAGAGGAGCAAACAGTGGTAGAATATTTTACTTATTTTCATCTAATTCAGTACATTATGGAGCATTTGATAAGTTGCGTTTCGCAGGGGACTCGTACCTGAATGATTGCCGACTCATGATAAAAGAGGCGCAGGATTTCGACTGGGGACGTTGAAAGAAAATTAATAATAAAAAAAACTGGAGGAGGACAAGTCTAAAGTTGTGTCAGCAGTATTACTAGGTTCAAAAGTGGGTATCTGCAGCTAGAGGGCGAGACTTGACTTAAAAAAGCGCTAAGGTTGGATCTAAATGATTTTAAGACTTTATTAGGAGAAATTTTTTGGTCGTGTTTCTTTTTTTTTTTTTATTATTATTTTTCGCATTTGTCAAGGCCGCAGAACAGCGTGCCATTTGGGGTGAAAAAGAATTCGAAATTTTGAAGAGTTGAGATATTTTGGCAACTTTGTGAGTTTGTTAAGCACCAGTAGCTAAAACTCGGTTTATTTTTGCTTATTCGCTTTGCTGAAGGAACATTTTTGTCAGATTAGTGATATTGGATGAGGACTAGACTTGTTTGGATAGTTTAAAGAAGGGGTAGTCTTGATGAGTTTGCTGGTTCTGTCAGAAATTGCATGAAAAAGTAAAATCATGTAACAGTACAAGTTACTGTTTGCGTCTGATCGAAAAGAGAGGTATCATGTATTAGGAGCTAACTAATTAATTTGATTGTCTGTCTGTAGCAGTCAAAAGTTCTGTAAATGAACACTCCATTATATCCCGTCCTAATACAGCCAAAAGCCTCTTAGAGAAAGAAGAATCTTTTGATTGGTTAAAAGGTGGGTATACGCTATAATACCGATTAAAAATATGTTTACCGTTATAACGACAGTGATTTAACTGATTTAGTGGAAGTTCTTTTTTGTTTTCAGATAATACTGTTAAAAGTTACTCTCTGGTTCGGAATGTTTCATCGTGTTGAAGTTGTTGTGCATAAACAACATGTAAAACACTGATTATGGATGACAAGTTATTTTTCTGAAATTATTGTGCCTTTAAGCTGCTGAAAGTGAAAGAAAAACGTTTTGAGGATTTGTGCTTAAAAAATCTATAAGCAGTGGAACAATTGGACACCTTTTTTTGTAGGAAAATGCGAACGCTTTTGAGGAAATTTCAGACAGATATTCTATTTGCTTTGTCATAAATTTTTGATAGAGTTTTTTAAATATAATATTTATGTGTTTGGCAGTTAGTTGAAAGTTGTGTGAATTTGGGTTTCAACAAAACTATCACTGTACAGAGAGGATTACTGTCGTCATTTAATGCTGTATAAAAAGCATCGATAAAAAGAGTTATATTTACTGAGTTATGATGTAATTATTTTTTTTGAAGGATGTTATGCACAAAAAAAAAAAAAT